ATTTGAAGCAGGATGTTATTACATATAATATTCAAAATTGCGTACTTTTATTTTTCAAGGAAATTAATTGTGAAAGCCTTTCGCGGCCATCGTCCTGCAACTCAAAGTTTGTGAAGGTCTTCGGTTGTTGTGGGTTTACTCTGGCTCCTGATATTTCGCTCAAAGTACATACCTACCGTTTACTTCAAGTTTGATATGATTGACTACTCAAGATCCCAAAACAATTATTTAAATCGTCTAGAATAAGTTGAAATTTTTAGGACATTTTTCTCAAAAGTTGAGTTTTCACCCGTTGTGTAAACTGTTTAGTTCAAAATGGTTCATAATTTCAAATTTGTAGTTGAACAGGATACACTCTGTATGAAAAAGTTCGAGATTAAATGATTTCAATAACTGTGTGTGTCCTTATTAAAAGTTATGGAAGCAGTGAAGTGCGAAAAATGAAACTTGTGCCAGCTAATAATCGGACAACCATTTTTTTAATTATTCGACTGCAGGAATAAGAATTCGTTATAGGTATGGTAATTATTTTTATTTTGAACGATATATGTAATTTCCACATTTCTTACTGGTTTGAAAGTTCGAAAATGTCACTTTACTTTTGTTTACTTCAAAGCAGGCCGAAAGTGACAGTTCTCCTGTCACTTTCGGCCCTGGAGAACTCACTTTCGGCCTGATAAATTGTTCTTTCACAACTAAACACAAGTCCAGGTGCAATGTTTGTATTTAGAAGTAGATGACACATGTGTTTATATTGTAGCAATTTCATAAGATGTCAATGTCGGTGTCAGAGTGTCAGTCGAAATTTCATTTTTGACATATTTTTACCTTATTTTTTTCAATACCTAACTAATGGTTCAAAATAAAATAGTATACATATTTCGGTGGAAAGTTTTCACATATATTGTCTCGAGAATTGGTTGACCTCGGCGCTTCGCACCTCGGTCAACCATAGTATCGCTCGACAATAATGAAACACCTCCATATGTAATATACTATTACGGGCACTCTTTGTATCTATTAGATAACATACAAGTTCCATTTTCTGATTAGTAAGCAAAATGTGTGTAATTTGTTTCTCACCGTAAGCTAATACATTTAATTTTTTGGTTTAATTATTGTCATTTTCCAAATAATGTTATAGCTATTAAATCATAAAGTTTCACCGAAAGGACTCATAATTATCTGAAAACTACTTAGGTAAAGTTGTTTGAAAATATTTTAGAACTACCCTCTAAGAGCATTATGTAATCTACACTTGCGAAAATTCAATATTATCATCCGTCTGTCAAGATAACTTAGATATTCTCTAAGCGTTATTTTCTCCTCCTAGCCTTCTAATGTGAGCTTTAATGGGAATTAACATAGATTACTTTACGCCACAATTTACACTACAGAATCCCACGCATATATACATATTTCAACGCGTCATCTATTTCATCTTATCCATCCCACGCAACTTCGTAAGTTATTCATTGGGAATTGAGGTAACTCCTCCATCTTCCTGTCTAAGAAAATTTGCTCGAGAGAAAGTATCAAGTTGATGGGTTAGAAATAAAATACCTAGCACGATTTTGCACTTTCCATCGATATATAGGGAGATAATCTATTTGAAACGTCTTTTTATTATCTTGCTGAACCGGGATTGACGTAAATATGATAGGGGTGTTTCAGATTTATATGTATGTTCGCAGAGCTATGGTATAAGTGAAAAGAATTATTTATAAAAAGACCACTGTAAGGGTATTTGATTATATTTGGACCCATACCTACAGCCTTTACTATTTAAGATAGAGAAAAATTTTAAATACAAAACTCGACATTTTTTTTCTATATTTTTTTGTAACTTTATCAGAAAAAACAAAATCGCATCGGAAAATGGAGAAACGTAGACAACTTCGACTTTTTTAATGGAACACCCTGTATATTATGCGATGAAATGAAAGATCTTTTCCTCCTGATTCCAAATTATATTTTGATCACATTTGTGCGAGCCATTTTTGACATGTCTTAACTCAAATTATGAATAATTTGCAAAGAAATTTCATAAGGATATCAAGAGATAATAGTCTTTATAAAATTTCTTTGCAATTTATTTATAATTCAAGCTAAGATATGTCCAAAATGACTCACGCAAATGTGACCAAAATATATACCAGGTGTCCCACTAAGGTCGGCCAGGTACGATATTATGGAAAACATAGACCTTACGGCTTCGGGATTTTTTTTTTCTTCACTAAATCGACCAAGAGAAATTGATGGAAATTATTTTCAAGTTTCTAGGATGACCGCTAGGGGGCGCAATTACGATGATATAGCAAAAAATTCAACTTTTCTCAAGAAATCGCTATATTAAGATACTGTTTTAACAACAGAAATCAAAAGTTCATTAATTTTTGCTCCAGTTTGGTAATTAGGCTTTTTTTCGTATCTTCAGTAATAAGGGTGGGGGAAGCTGGTGAATTTTTTTTTTTAGAAATTACTGTATCTTCCATACCCCTCATTCAAACTCATTCAATTTGGGTTTATTTGGAAGAGAATTTCATTGTCATTAAGAACACCACTCGTTCGAGGTCGATAGTTCCCACCGCGTCTTCTAGAGGGCGCTGTTTATTCAAGATCCAGTTTTTTCTAATTCTCATGAAAAATCCAAATGGCATAATATTATTTTTGTATTGCTGTGCTTAAAGAGCAAAAAAGTATCTACATTTTGGCGCAAACCGCAATTCAATATCTGCATTCGTTTTCAAGTTACGTAAGGTCTATGCTCTCCATAATATCGTACCTGGCCGACCTTAGTGGGATACCCTGTATATATATTTGGAATCAGGAGGTAAAGATCTTTTATTTCATCGCATAATTTACAGGGTGTTCTATTCAAAAAAGTTGAAGTTGTTTACGTTTCTCCATTTTCTGATGCGATTTTGTTTTTTCTGATAACGGTAAAAGAAATCATAGAAGAAAACTGTCAAGTTTCATGTTTAAATTAGGTATGGGATCAAATTTAATCAAATACCCTCTACATTGGAAATTTTAAGTTAGGCCAAGCCAAGAGAAAAACTGCAAAAATTGAACGAGGTCTAATTGAACATTTGCGCATATGACGGAATTTTTTTTTTCGAACTCTCCTTAAATTTTAGTTCTGCGCACACCCCGGAAAAAGTAGCTTTGCTGATCGATCTCGACCACAATTTATTTTCAAACATTACTATCCGGGCTGTTGAAGGTTTCCTTATAATTTGTATTGCCCAAACAATTATATATTAGGTCTTTTTTACTTCGACACGACGAGGTGGATAACTGGTGGAATTCGAATAATGGCGCATACAGGGTGGGCCAATGGAAAATTTCCACCCCGATTTTTTGGATTTGAAATGAAAATCTAGAAAAACGCTCGGACACGTCGATTTTTGATTTTAGGGGGAACTATTTTTCAGTTTTTTTCATCCCCATAACTTGAACCCCCTAACTGGGAGGAGAACAACCCCTCAAATTTGAATAGGGGATAGGGGTTGTGTCATACCTCTTTTTAAAGGTCTTTTCGAGTTATTTATGACTCTAGAATTTCGTCTTATTATTTCCATCCGTAACGAAATGACAGCTTGTCAAGATCTTGGAAATAGACCATTATTTTAGTAGGAGTAGAAGCGATACTTGCAATTAAAGTTGTTTTATTATGTTTAATAATTAATAATAATAATTAATAATTATTAATAATAATAAAAAAACTTTAATGGTAAGTATTTTTATTAAGGCAGGTAGGTATCGATTTTATTCCTACTGAAACAATAGGCTATTTCCAAGATTTTGACAGGCTGTCATTTGGTTAGGGATGGAAATGATAAGACGAAATTCCAGAGTCATAAAGAACTCGATGAGACCTATAAAAGGAGGTATAACACGATCCCTATCCCCTATTCAAATTTGGGGGGTTGTTCTCCCCCCAGCTACGGGGTTAATGCTACGGGGATGAAAAAAACGGAAAAATGGTTCCCCCTCAAATCAAAAATCGACGATTCTGAGCGTTTTTTCGAATTTCCATTTGAAAGCCAAAAAATCAGGGTGGAAAGTTTCCATTGGCCCACCCTACCTTATTTGTTAGTTTGAAAATAAAAATTTTTTGTCAAGCCTGACGTATAAGTTTCCTTTCTCAGAAAATTTCAGGAAAAACCGACATTAAACTTGATAAATATTCAACAAATGGTCCTTCGATGCCTTTAAAGAACAGTTCTATGGAAAACGAGCAAAAACTAGAAACATTTACCAAAAATTTAAGACGTACTGAACGCCTAAAAGCAAAATTTATAAATGATTCCAATGATGAGCGATAGATGACGAGCTTATGACAAGTGCGTGGGTGTTATAGGTGTCAGTTTCACCCGGCATCCGATATTTATAGTTAGTAGGTATACGAATGAATGAATGTCAGATGGCATGGGATAACCAATTATAGTACGGATGAAGGATAATAGACAACGCGGATGAGGAATCATACAAATCACTCATAAAACATCAAATGATTCTGCGCAGATTTAGACAAATTCGATTTTTTTTCCGATATAATTCTGCCACGTCGAAGCCTCGGTCGAAGCGCATGAAAACCTTGCAAGAATACGTTCCAGAGAGAAGAGAACTAATATATTTGCCCCAAAATCCATACTATATTCTAAGTGTGCGTATGTGTATATCAACAAGATGTATATTTGACAGAATTTGGTCTACTATAATCATTTTACAAGAAGTCACATCGGCGACCTCTTTTAAATCAAATCCAATCAAATATAAAAATTAATATAAAAATTGACGAACGATTAAGTGCTGAGTTTTCTCACCTTTGAAGGGAGTCATAAAGACAATGGACAATATTTATTCAGATGCGCCGCAAATGCTACAGGGCATTTGCAAAATCGCTTACAACTTCTCCTTCCAATGTTAAAATATTAACTTGTCTATGTTTAGAATTGCTGTGAAGTGAATAATAAATACGTTCATTGTTTTAGGTGTCATTCTTCTCTACAAGTCCCGAATTGAGCAACAAACAACGTTTCGAATATTTCTCCAGAACGATTCCATCCGATCATCATCAAGTAAAGGCCATGGTAGATATCGTCATGCTAATGGGCTGGAGCTATATATCAATTATCTATGAAGAATCTAACTATGGAATCAAGGTAATTAATCAAGGACAATTTGCTCTAATTAATTACTAAAATCTAATAACCCTACCGATTTCATTTTAATTAAATTATTAACAAAATACAAAGTTCGAAAGTCAGTTTTATACTCTTGTAACTGAATTCGAGTCAATTATCGTCGGATGCTGAGAAATTTCATGCAATCAGTCTGGAATCGTGTGGGTAGCCGAGCCAATCGACATCTGGTGAATCGTTATATATTATCAGGTATGCAAATTGGGTCTTTTCTATATTTATAGACTGTGAATTCGAATATAAAATAAAAGTTTTAATATTCGTTGAGAGGTTTTCTACTTTTTATATACTATGTGATATAGAAATTGCAACACCCAGTAAATATATTTTACTATTATTTTGAGAACTAATTGGGAAAAATATGAATAACAATCGATAACATTTTTACAAAAATTTATTGAGGAGGAGTTCTTGACAATTCAATAGTGAGTTGCACCACCACGTAACTTTTGACATTCTGTAACATCATCGATATCTGCCTGTGGTCCCAGACTAATCTTACCTCGTGACGTAGATGTTTTACATCCAGTAGAAGATGTGGCAACTGTCTCAGCCTTCTACCTGTCACATCCCAAACATGTTCAATAGGTCATAAGTCTGATAACCTTGCGGGCCGTGGAAAAACATTGGCTTGTTGCATGAAGTTTCTAGTAACTTCAGCGGTATGTGATCTCGCATTGTCTTGTTGAAAAATTGGATCTTGCAGTTGCTGAAGGTAGGGCAAGGCGACATGTAATACGTGATTAATGTAGGATTGGGCGTTCATGTCACTGATCTCAAAAATAAATGGATAGACAAAGAACGCTTCTAATGCTGCTAATTTACGAGGTCGTAATTTTAAACAAAACAACTGACTGGGACAGCTGTGATTGTGCGCAGTAGATACATGTACTGTGCGTGCACAAAATCTGGCCAATGAAAACGAAGGAATTTCAAAATTTATAACAGTTGTTCGAAAGATAAGACACTAAACGTTAGGCTGTTACCTTGCACAACTGTTCATAGAATATTGACCCCAAATTTTCGCACAAGTTTGGCCAATCGAGCCGTACGATTGTTTATCCATTTATTTTTTAGATCAGTGGTTCATGTTTATATCCAAAAACAAAACTAGAGTTGACCTGCTTCCAACTGCTATGGCACCCCATGCCATAACGCCCCTAGTAAGCGCAGTCTCACGCTTCATGCAAAATTGAAGTTAGTGCCTTTCTCCACGTCTGCGACGGACTCTTCTACGTTACCCTACCTTTAGCAACTCCAAGATCCAATTTTTCAACAAGACAATGCGGGACCACATAACGCTGCAGTTACTAGAAACTTCCTCCAAAAAGCTAATGTAACCCTTCTTCCATGGCCTGCAAGGTCACCAGACTTATGGCCCATTGAACATGTCTTCTACTGGATGTACAACGTCTACGTCATGAGGTTAGTTTCGCCTGGGACCACAGGCAGATATCGATCATCTGATTCGCAGTATGCCACAAAGAGTTACAGAATGTGGAAACTAACGTGGAGGCGCAACTGACTATTAAATTGTTAAGAGTCCCTTTCAATAAGTTTATTTGAAAATATCATCGATTGTTATTCATATTTATCTTAACTACTTCCCAAATAATTAATAAAAAATATTCACGTTCACTGGTTGTTGCAATTTCTATGTCACTCAATAGGTATATGTTTGCGAAAATCAAATTTTCGGAGCGTATGGTTTTTATTCACAGATAGATAGGGGTTTGTTTTGCATTTTGTATCTTGCCTGTAATATGAATGCAATATAGGTACCCTCTAATTTTTATATTTTTCCATAGCATTTCCATTATTTTTATATGGTATTGAACGAAATTCTAAGACAATTAATTTATTTTTTGTGTCCATTAAAACTGATGCTTTTATTATCAATACATTCTATTTGGTTATCAGTAATTAGCCGAGCCGTCTACAGAGGCCTCATTGTTTTCAGCTTCCGTTCAATTAACAAAATTTTGCTGTCCTGCAAATACAATAAGCCTATGGAAAATCGAATTTCCTTAATTAAAAATTATCAGGACAAAAGCCCCAAGGGCTTAATAATCAATTTCAATCCTTCATTCATAATTGTCTATTTTCTATAATTCCGCCGTAAAGGAGAGTTGCATGAATCAATAATTGGGAAATTTTTCGTGTGTAAGTGTAATTATTTTTGATGTAGGTAGCTTTTCATTTCGAAAATTTATGGATAAAATAGCGCAAACATTATTTACCAAAAAAAAATAACGAATTTAAAACAAAAAGCTTATGTTCCCCGACAATTTCATTATTTATTATGACATAAACAGTTCCAAAAATCAATAAAAACCAGTATTCTTAATTTATTTTATTCATTATTTTAAGACGATAATTTTTATTACAGACGAATAATAATTGTTGTTTTGGTCTTATAACAAAGAAAATAAACATTCAGCATGGAAAGCTACCTATAAACGTAGGCACATAATATGGTATCTATGCAATAAATCGTATGTCAATTACTTTTTAGTATTTGAAGGACTATAATTGGACTATTTTTGGATATTTGTTCTTGATTCTGCAAATACTTTAAATAAAATATTCGTATTTGGTACCTACTTGAATTTACAAAAAAAAATAAAAAATAATACTCCGCCAAATCTGAAATTAACAAGTATAATAAGTATATAGGTAGTTTGTTCGTTTCTATTATATTTAGGCTCCGTTGTACATCCGAAGTTAAAAAAGTGATTCAGTGGAACTCTACTGGTTCTTGAACTCTCCTATTTAAAATGTGTGCTGTCAAAAGAGGAGTGAGGATGGAATAATTTGTTGTGGATTTGTGTGTGTGGCACTTTCGATAGTTATATATCTTTTATAATTTCAGTTTAGATTCAGATGCAATAAAGATATGGGTGTTTCATAATTGTTGTGACAAGCAGATAGGGCTTATAGAGGGCATGAAAATGAGCAAATTTGCCTTATAAAACCCTAACCTGAAATTTGCCGTTAACCTCCAGTAAAAAAAAAGACAGCTCAGGTGTACCTGCAGGAAAAAAAAACGTCGTTGGAAGAACACAAGTAAGTGCCTCCATTTTGTTTCTCGGCTCGGTTTCAAATATCATATTTGATATTTTTTGGCAAAAATTAAGATTAATCAACGCGTTCACAGTCCCGCGGCTCTTAATATCTAAGATAAATCGAGAAATCAAACGAACAAATATTTACAAAAACTGTTCGTAGTGTCTCCCACGTCTTTCAGCACCTAGCTGGGCACGATTGTTCATTGGCCGCCGAACTCTGCGAAATCCCCCCGGTGTGTTTTGGAAGCATATCTTCAGCGCAAATGTGACTATTACCACCAACGACAAAACGACAAAAATGGCGCCGCGGCGGATAATCATTCGGACCCAGGCCTTGGACTCGTAACAGATGGTAAAGTCCATTCCAAAATATTTCGTTGACTTCACGGCTATAAAACCCTACCATAAATTAGATAGCTATTAGCCTCTATTGTGTAGGTACCAGGTTCTTTTATGTAGGTACCGGGTTCCTTAATACCCACTCAAAGGTTTACAGGTACGGATTTTGTGCCCATTATAATGAAAACGAAAAAGGCGTTTCATAATATTATTTATTTATGTTATAATCTTATACTATCTTAATAATTACCAAAACTTAATATCTAATACAATATAATACAATACACAATTCAAGCAAACCTAATCTATATTTAGTTCCGTTTCACTGTCACTGTCATCTTCATCTATGCCTAAACTAATTATTAATGGCTTAACATTAATACCTATTGAATTATAGGTTTCTTCAACTTTTATAACGTGATTGACAGAATTTTTCCAGCTTTGAACTGGAATATTATCTACATATTTTCTAATTAAATCTATTACAGCAGTACTAAGTGTAGGAGAGGTGTTTCCTCTCCTAACCATTGCCGTCAATTCATGCCAGATATTTTCTATTGGATTGAAAATACAATAATATGGAGGAAGACGCAAAACTGTATGACCACAAGCGCTAGCAAGATCGTCACAAATATATTCTTTTTTAACATTATATGATTTCAAAACGTTTAAAAGATCTTTCTTTGTATAATTTTCTTCGAAATACATATCATTTTCCATCATATATTTTTGAAGTTCTACTTTTGTATTACTTGCATTGGGCACTTTATTTTTTTGACGGCTGTGGTAACTAGCGTTGTCCATCACAATTATACTGTTTTCTGGTATGTTCGGAAGAAGGCGATTCTGAAACCATTCTTCAAATAATTTTGCATTGGTATCTTGATGATAATCTAATGATGAATTGGCTATTTTTTTTTGCGGATAGCAGCAAAGAGTTTGGAACAAAACCATTTTCTGATCCGGCATGCAAAATTGTAATCCTCTGGCCTTTATTTGAGGGTGCTTTGCTTTGACATTTGGAGGTTGAGTCGCTCCATCCTCTTTTGGGAGTGTCATGGGTATCAAACCATGTTTCGTCAAGATATATTATCGGACGATTTTCTGCCCTATATTGTTTTATGGAACTTAAATATTCTCGACGCCATGCTTGTAATCGCTGGGATTCCATTAGCACTTGCCTCTTATTAATGGTTTGATATTTGAAACCCATTGCTTTCACAATTCTCCAAAGGCTTGTTCTGCTACATAATATATCAGTTTCGTCTTCTATAAGTACCTTTTTTAGAGAATCTATTGTAGGTATTATTTGTTTACTGTACAAATCATAAATTTTCCTACGAATCAACTCTTTATCCGCTTCTTCAACCTTTCTTGACTTGCCGCTGTCACACCGTTGCTTCCTTGGCTGGATGCGTTTGGCTACGATATCTTTAACCGTAGATAATGGAGTTTTGGTTAAAACGGATGATTCACTCACACTTTGATTATGATTATAGCCTCTCTGCAGAAGGGTTAAATAAACGTTCCTCACAATTTCCTTGGCATCTAGCG